TTTCAGACCAGAAGGGTAGGACATATAATGTGCAGCATTAAGATATAAGCAATTTAAAAACTTTTCATTGGTTTTGGTTTATTATCAATTGAGTTCTCTAAATTAGGTCTGGGATAGTGATAAGCCAGCCATGATGTATGCCCCTAACATGCTGCAGACGTATAGCCCTGAATACTTATATTTAATTAATAACAAAACATTATCTTCATTCTGGCAAAGGAAATATTTATTAAGGTATGACAGTATATGTCCCTAAAATTCCACATGACATAAACATTGCTGATATATACTGGTAAATATACTGGTATAATCTTGATACATACTGGTAAATCATAACACCATCTAACTGCTTTTGGTAATTGATGTAGTTGTTCATAGCCCCCGGTCCTCTTCATGGCCCTGTTTTGTAACTTTTGGCTGAGGCTGAACCATCTTGTACAAATAATGTATGTTTTGCCTTGCCTTGTTATGCCTTGAATATCACTGCAATGTAAAATTCCCTGCTGGAAGGCTGCAGAGGTCAGCAAGCTTATCAACCTTCTCTCTGGTATCTAAACAAGGTATCTAGACAAATCCGGTATTTAGAGAGATATAGTATCAAATCAGCTCACCATTTCAGAACCCCACTTTCACAGGGTCATCGGTTACCCTGCAAATGTCATTTTTGCACTGGGAGGGCAAATACTATCTATTTTATTGGGGCTATCTTTAATGTATGAGGAAACTACCAGTCCCTAAAAATAGGTAAAATTCGTACTCACCCCAAAAAATACTGCTGAGCTGATATTCAGCTTTAATTTTGCCACACACTCCACTCCCTGAACATGTTGAAAAAGTCTAGACCAAATATTACAGTCCAGAATTATTATAAATCCATAGAGAGTTGTTTTATTATGGTGAGATTAAGCATCAACCTGAGCTCTACTTGGCATCTGAGGGGAAAACTAGATGGCTAGCAGTGACTGAAACCCACATATTCCACCAAAGTATCGTTTAAATTATATCAATAATCAAAGGGAGAGCTTTGAAATTTAAAAAAGCAATTTATGATAAATAGAATCATAGAGTTGGAAGTGACTTGGTTCATGCCAAATCACAGAATCACAGAGTCGGAAGGGAACACAAGGATCATCTAGTACAAACCCCAGCAATGCAGGAACATTTTTCCTAACATGAGGCTTGAACCCACAACACTGAGATTAAGTCTCAGGCTCTACCGACTGAGCTATCCCTCCCCCCACTCTCTGGAAAATCAAGGTTTTAAATGCATGGGGAGGCTACACATGTGCCCACTGCAAGGAGTTGCCCTCAACACATGGAGGGTGATAGGGATATCCACCCTCCACTTCCTCTGCCACACAAAGTTAATCATTGGCATAAATCATTGGCATAAACCTCTGAACAGAGCTGTGGTTTCAAATTAAAGCAATATATGCACAGAACGCAAAGCATTAGAGACAGATCTATTAAGTTAATTGGACAGAGAGTGCAAATATTTTAAAAAAGAAAAGTTATGACATGCTGCAGGGATAGACACATAAACTTCTTTTTCTTCTTTGTTTCTAGACGTGGATGAGTGTTCAAAATGCCCAGAAGGTCAGTATCCAAACAGGAACAAAGATCAGTGCCTTTCAAAGAAAGTCAACTTCCTCTCATTCACAGAAACTTTGGGGATCCTTTTAACTTTCTTAGCTCTGTCTTTTTCTCTGATCACAGCTTTGGTGTTTGGAGTCTTCGCTAAGCATCAGAACACTCCCATTGTCAAAGCCAACAATCGAAACCTCACCTACTCTCTGCTTATCGCACTATTACTCTGCTTCCTCTGCTCGTTGTTATTCATTGGCCTGCCCCAAACAGTGAACTGCTGTTTAAGACAAACTGCTTTTGGTGTCATCTTCTCTGTAGCTATTTCCTGCATATTGGCAAAAACGATAACTGTGATTCTGGCTTTTGTTGCCACCAAGCCAGGGAGCAGCATGAGAAAATGGGTGGGGAAAGGATTCACAAACACTATCATTCTTGGCTGCTCCTTTATTCAAGCTACTATTTGTGCTGTGTGGCTATGCACTACTCCCCCATTTGCACATTTTGACATGCACTCCCTTACTCAAGAAATTGTAGTGGAATGCAATGAAGGTTCTGTCACTATGTTTTATTCTGTTCTGGGCTACCTGGGATTCTTAGCCATTGTTAGCTTCACTGTGGCTTTTCAGGCCAGGAAGTTGCCAGACAGCTTCAATGAAGCCAAGTTCATCACTTTCAGTATGTTGGTTTTCTGCAGTGTTTGGATGTCTTTTGTTCCTTCCTATTTAAGCACAAAAGGAAAATACATGGTGGCTGTGGAGATCTTCTCCATCTTGTCCTCCAGTGCTGGGTTACTAGGTTGTATCTTTGCTCCCAAATGCTACATAATAATCCTGAGGCCAGAACTGAACAAGAAGGAGCAGATAATAAAGAGATATTAGTAAAATAAAACTAAATCTAAGAGTATGGCATTTTTATTGATGTTTTTGAAATCATATGATCTATTGGTCAGGAGAGTCTTCTTAAGAATGGTAGTACTGTTTAAATGAGAAGCAGTTTTTAAACTAGTCATTTCAGTACTGATAGTTATAATAATTTCCTGTGCACCCATAAATAAAGACTTGTGGGATGTGAACCATGGTAGAAATATCACAGTGGGTGGGATAGCCTTTATATGGCTGGTTCCCACACTTGTCTGATTGGTCAGCAGGCCCCAGGGGATCTTAACCCCACTTCTCTATTTGTATCATTTATAAGGGTGGTGGATTTTGAGGAATATAGAGGAGAAAAATTATTTAAAGTCTTCACAAATTTGTTTTTGTAGAAAAGACATTTTCTCCTGTTTTAGTCTAATGGCAGCTATAGTTGCCTCTTTTCTTTTATTTCTTAATCTTGTGGCTAAGAAACTTAGACCCCATTCCTCAAAAATTCATACATTATTTGTTTTAAATACGACTTTATCACTGTCTTCTTTATTTCTGTGGTTTCCAATTATTTCTGCCTTATCTGTGATTTAAAAAAGAAATCTTGATCCCATAACTCTTTGTAATTTGGTCCAGAAGAGGAACTTCCTGCTGCAGTTGTGATTTTGTGTCCTATGTGATCTTTTAAGTATGATTTTCCCCGTATAATGCCCCTCTCATCACTGTCTTCCAGTGCCCTCATCCCACAATGAGCCATAACTCATTCTTTCCCTTAAAAAAACAAAAAACAAAAAATGGCACTGTTTTAGTCAGACTTTCTCTTATTGATTGATTGAGAATAGGGGTGAAATACCATCTGGGAGTAGCATGTTCAGCTGGAATGAATTCAAATTTTCTGGATACTGGGACATGATCTGTTATTTTGAATCTCTCCTGTTTGTTGTTCTTTTCACCTGCATTTAAGAGTGGGGTGGATGTTAATGGGAAATCTACTCTGTATTGTGAGCTGTACACCAGGAGCCTATTCTACATGAGTGGAGTCTCCCTGGACTCACCTTCTGGCAAACATACCTCAGTTCCTACTTTTGTAGCATCCTTATTTGTTTCAGTTGGTCTCTACCATTCTTAAATTATCCTTGCATTTCTACATTTCTTTTTCCATGTGGAATTAGCCAGGTCCTTACCTGTTAATTCTTTTATGTTCCAATAAGGATCGCCACCGATTATTACATTATTGAAGAGGATTTTCAGTTTGGCCAGAGTTTTTTTGCAGGAAGGGTTATTGCTACTATTTGGTGAATAAATAGATGTGGTCCATCAATAATACTTTGAACAAAAATATATCTTCCATGTGCATCCCCCTCAAATACTTTTGTTGACTGAAAATTATATATTAACAAGTACCCTTCTAACTTTGAGGAACCACTTGCTGTAAACTTTTGGCAGCCCATGACTGCGTAAACAATGTATTTTTTCCTGCCTGATTCACAAGTTTCTTGAAAACAAAACAAAAAAAATAATACCTCCCAACTATATGTGGATGCATTTTAAACATTTTATTTGATTTATATACCACCCTTCATCACAAGTCTTCGGGGCAGTTTACATGATACAAACACAAGGTAAATGCGCAAACTATCAATTACAACTTTGGGTAATAAACTGCAAGTAACTCTGGGGAGAGGGGGGGAGAGGGGATGAAATTTGGCTTTTTGTTGGTTCCTGCTGCTTCTAAAGACAACAGTCCATTTTCTGAGAGAAGGGGGGAAATAATTCACCCAGGCCTGGTTCTACAGTGAATCTAAAAAAAGAAAAATGGAGGGAGAGGGAGAGAGAGGGAGAGAGAGAGGGAGAGGGAGAGAGAGCTGTCACTTAAATTTTCCATTGACTGCTATACATTGTCCCACTGGTGTCACATTTTTATAACGTGTTTATAACATTATAACTCACCAGTGTAGATTAGTCCAAGGCCTCTCAGTGGCATATCATCAATTCTTAGCTGCTTCTCTGGATTGGTGGAAGCTGGTGAGTCTGAGTCAGAGTTCCTTCTAGAGTGGTTTTTTTATTATTACATTTTTTTTCTTCATCACTGAAGTTGTGCTTTAAAACTTTCCTCTTTCTGCTGGCTCATCCTGTTTTCCTTGGCTTTTGTGGATGTTTATAATAAAGAACAACTGTTCACTGCTTGTTCTTTGATGTATTCAGTTTGAAGTGAAGAGCCTTTATCAAACACTGCCATGCCCACACTGCTGTCTTCTCCAGGAATTGGTATTTAAATATTGTGAGAATAACAAATGTCCAACTCACCTAAATTCAAGACAGTGATGTCTACAAACATTTTAGCAGAGAAATAAAATAACACACACACGCACATGCACAAACAAACAAACAAGCAAACACAAGAACACAAATCTTTGCAAGCCTTGCCTTCAAGAGCAGAAGAAGGAAGAAAACAGAAGTCATCAAATGGTTCCAGAAACAATAATGGGATCCTGTGGAACTAGAAGAATCTATATCAGCTAATTTAAAAGGGGTGTGTGTTCTTCATATACAACTGCAAATATCTAAAAACCTGAGAATGGATGTCATGCTAGAAGACTACTCTGCAACTTTGGTCCACTGTAAGGGTTGCATAATGTACCCACACATCAGTGAACATTTCTCTTTATTAGGAGATCTCTTTTGTTCAGTTCTGGCCTCAGCACAATAATGTAGCATTTAGGGAAGAAGATGCAGCCCAGAAGCCCAGCACTGGAGGCTAAGATGGAGAAGATCTCCACAGCTACCATGTATTTTCCTTTGGTGCTCAGATAGGTGGGAAAAAAGGATAACCAAACACTGCAAAACACAAGCATGCTAAAGTGATTAGCTTGGCTTCATTAAAACTGTCAGGTAATTTTCTAGCCTGGAAAGCTACAGTGAAGCTCACAATAGCCAGGAAGCCCATGTAACCCAGGACACAGTAGAACATAGTCACAGACCCCTCATTACATTCAAGTACAATTTCTTCAGTTACTGAATTCATGTCAATATCTGGAAATGGAGGATTAATTGCCAGCCATACGATACAAATAATTCCTTGAACAAGAGAGCAGAGAAGAACAATGGAGTTGGCCACATTTTTCCCTACCCATTTCCTCATGCTACTTCCTGGCTTGGTGGCCATGAAAGCCAGAACCACCGTAATGGTTTTTGCTAACACAGAAGAGACAGCCACTGAGAAGACCATGGCAAATGCAACTTGACGGAAGAGACACATCACCTTCACAGGATGGCCAATAAACAGCAAAGCACAAGGGAAGCAAAGCAGGAGGGACATTAGGAGAGTATAGGTGAGGCTCCGGTTGTTGGCTTTGACAATAGGAGTGTTGTGGTGCATTATAAAGGCTCCTAGCACTAGAGCAGTGATCAAGGAAAATATAAGTGCAAAGATGGCTAAACTCATCCCCAAAGGGTCCTTATAAGACAAGAAGGTTATTAGCTTTGGAATGCAGCGATTCTTTACTTTGTTTGGATAATGATCTTTTTGGCACATTGTGCAAAAATCTGCATCTGGAAAAAAAGATGAAAAACTTTTTTAGAAGTTGCTTTTTGCAGTTGAAGCCATTTGTTCTATTTCTACAAACAATCAGGTTTAGGAATAAATTTCCCCTTCTAAAAATCAAATTATGCTGTTGTCTTCGCTTTAAGAAGACAAAAGGGTCTGTGTGTTGATGCACAACTTTCAAAGTAAGTGAATAATAGAACTAACCTATCACTTGGTATCAATGGTATTCTAAGGCAAGCTTTCCCATGACTACTTACTAATGTTTCTACCAAGTTGAATTTAGCAAGTAACAGAGAAATTTGCACTAGCTTTCAGGATGAGGTATCTATGCCATGCAACCCAAGGGAAGTAATAGCATCACTGTATTCTACCTTGGTCAGAACATACCTGGAATACTGTGTCCAGTTCTGGGTACCACAATTTAAGAATGATATTGACAAGCTGGAAAGTGTGTAGAGGAGGCAACTAAGATGACTGAGGGTCTAGAAACCAAGCCTGATGAGGAATGGTTGAGCATCCCCTCAGGAGACTGAGGAAACATATGATCGTTGTCTTCATCTAAAGGGCTGTCACATGGAAGATGGAGCAAGCTTGTTTTCTCCTACTACTGAGGATAGGACTCAAACCAATGGATTCAAGTTACAAGAAAGGAGATTCCAACTAAATATCAGGAAGACCTTTCTAACAGTAAAAGTTGTTTGACAGTGGAATGGAGTCCCTTGGAGGGTAACAACAACAACAACAACAACAACAACAACAACAACAACAACAACAACTTATTATACCCCGCCCATCTGGCTGGGTTTCCCCAGCCACTCTAAGCAGCTTCCAACAGAATATTAAAACACAATAGTCTATTAAACATTAAAAGCTTCCCTAAATAGGGCTGCCTTCAAGGAAGTCTCCTTCCTTGGAAGTTTTTAAGCAGCGGCTGGATGGCCATCTGTTATGTATGAGCTAGCTGATATTCCTGCAATGCAGGGAGTTGGACCAGATGACCCTTGAGTTCCCTTCCAACTTTTCAGTTCTATGATTCCACAATTTTGTGATTCAATATGTAGAAGTGCATTTATAGAAATTACTAGAATAACCTTGCCTCCATTCCTTATTCTTTCTTCCTAGATCAAAGAACTACAGTGGTACCTCGGGTTACATACGCTTCAGGTTACAGACGCTTTAGGTTACAGACTCCGCTAACCCAGAAATCGTACCTCGGGTTAAGAACTTTGCTTCAGGATGAGAACAGAAATAATGCGGCAGCAACACGGCGGCAGCAGGAGGCCCCATTAGCTAAAGTGGTACCTCAGGTTAAGAACAGTTTCAGGTTAAGAACGGACCTCCAGAACGAATTAAGTTCTTAACCCGAGGTACCACTGTACTTCCCTTTAAGAAAAGCGCCCAGCATTTTGTATTCAATGATAGATGCATTTCTTTCATTCTTTTGGTCCCTAGGTGAGAAGTGCTCATAACTACTGTTTTGAATTAGTTGATATCAGGATTGTTTCCCAGTAATGACTACTATCACCTACTACAAACCACTTTAACTAACAGGACCTTTGTGCCATACTAATGAAGGTGGATTGCTAGATTACACCAGGTACTGCATATTCTACCTTTATTATGAGAAATCTTCCCTTTTGGACATGGAATACAATCATAGCAGCAAAATGGCTCCCCCTCCTTTTTCTTCTTTTGGTAACCAGGTTGACAGTTATCATTACAGAGTGAAAGGGGCATCACCTATTCAGGGAATATGAATAATTAGAATTGAGAATATATATATTTAAAATAGTATGATGACATCACTATGCACAGTATAATCATCAGATTCTGTCATATTAATGCAGGTGCTCATAAGTTGGTGAACTGTCTTGAACTGAGATCTTTAATGGCCAGGCTTTGGCTCTGTGCTGCTAGTATTCTCTGCCTTCATTAATCTAGTCAGACTAGATTCCATAAAAAGTTGAAGTAAAGTACGGATGGAGAAAACTGAGAGTAATTTTGTGGTTTTAAACAATGGCAGATGTTTGAGTATATTGAATACAAACACCATTGGACAAGCTATTCTGCCTTGGTCAGATCACACCTGGATTACTGTGCCAGTTTGGTTGAAGGAGCTGGATATGTTTAGCCTGGCAAAGAGGAGACTGAGAGGAGATATGATAGCTATCTTCAAATATATTAAGGGCTATCACGTGGAAGATGGGGCAAGCTTTTTTTCTCCTGCTTTGGAGGGTAGGACTCAAACCAATGGCTTCAAGCTACAAAAAAGGAGATTCTGACTTAACATCAGGAATAACTTTTTTTGTCTTTGACTTTTTGAATCTCAAGTTACTGATAAAATATGTGCAATTTTCAAACACAGCATTAATTAAAAACACATATCTGTGATAAATTTCTATATATTAAATAAACTATACAGGAAAATGTTCATATTTTCAGCAGGAAACAGCAGAACAGTGTGCAAGTAAACATTCTTTGGACTATGTAAATCAATCAATATAAACATACTGGGACAAGGACTATAAAAATATTTTATTAAGGAAGCTACAAATGATTGTTTCTCCTCTCCCTCCCTCCTTTTATTTTATGGAAGCTAAAGACTATAGTGATGTCCCACCTGGTTAAAACTTCTAGGCCACACAATGGCGCCTTCATCAATGCTCAAATCTTTGCCAGGAGGAGCCCAAGGATTCATTCTTCCAACTTTCATTCTAACAAATGACTTATTGGGAAAAGTAATCAGATTTGTAATATCAAACCCCATTGTCAATTCTCCATTCTCATTCAAGTGCACGGTTTCTCCTGCACTGTTGTTAAATGAGATTCTCCTCAGAATAGGATGGAGCTAGGTGGAATGGAAAAATAAATCAATGTTGGAATTGCATCAATATATGAGAAATTGCCTCTACCCTTGCATCTTACCCCAGTCACTTAGCTCTGTACAGTGATATCTTGGTTTACAACCATAATTCATTCTGGAGGTCCGGTTGTGAATCAAAAAAGGTTGTAACCCAAAGAGCACTTTCGCCAATGGGGTCTCCAAAAAGAAAAGGGGGTTGTAATCCAAAAAAAAATGGGTTGTAATCCAAGAAAAGGGGCACACACTTCAGGGTTTGACATGGTTGTAATGCAAAACTGTTGTAATCCAAAACGGTTGCAAACCACGGTACCACTGTATATGATGATTTATTAATACTGTCAAATATAACCTTTGTTAAAGCATGCTGTGACTCACACATGCTTTTAAATTTGTGGCTAAAGCCCTCCATAATTCTCTTCCTTTAGAATAGAAACAAGCTCTAATAATGTTATGTTTTTGACATTTGTTGAAGAAGAAAAAATCTCTACTACCATGCCTTTCCAAGATTTCAGACACTCCAAGTGTCCCTATTTTTCAGGGAAAGTCCCAGATTTATAGAAGACATTCCAATTTCTGATTTAATTCTGGAATGTCCTGCTTTTCCTTAACACATCCCCATTTTCACTGGAGGAATATTGGAGGTTATGGTAGGATGTCCCTATTTCATTGGAGAAATGCTGGAGAGTATGGAGTGACACGCAGCATAAATTAATAACACAGAGTCTTCTTCAGTAAAAAAATAAAAGCTTTACTGAGTTAAAATAAACTTGTTTGCAAATAACAGCATAATGAACAGCAGATTAAACTAGCTTCAGAGCATACACAGAGTTTGCATTGAGCACAGGCTTCACAGAGCACAGACACACACACTGAGACACTGACAGAGTCTGCCTGCAAGCAGATACAATACTTATACAGAGAATGAGTCATCCTCAAGATAAGTCACAGTGATTCAGCATGCTAAATGATTCTGCAGTGTTTCAGCATTTCACAACATTTCTAGACTCCTTTACTGCTTCCTTTACTGCTTTTGCTCTCAAATACCTTTGTCACATGACATGGAGTTATGCCGCCCCTAAGCCAAGGAGATAAGTAACTATGTAACCTTTAGAAGACATCTGAAGACAATGCTGTGTAGGGAAGTTTTTTAATGTTAAATGTTTTACTATGTTGGAAGCATATTATTATTATTATTATTATTATTATTATTATTATTATTATTATTATTATTATTTAGATGTCTCTATTTTCATTAGAGAAATGTTGGAGGGTATGAAACTTCTGCACTTTTAAATTATTCATTTTTTAATGTTTTCATACTTTTTTAAAAAAACAACAACAAACAAACCCTGAATTATGTGGGTAAATGATGCTCCAGTCAAAAGAAAAAAATCCATTTCATTTTTTAATGTTATCATACTTTTTTTAAAAAAAACCAACCCTGAATTATGTGGGTAAATGATGCTCCAGTCAAAAGAAAAAAATCCATATTTGCTGAGCAAAGGGCTAAGACACATGGAGTTTCCTGTAAATTCCTAGAGGGCTTGTTGGGAAGTCATATCCTCTGCTTGCCCAGGCAGGAAGGGTAACAGTAGGAAGATAATCCTTATTAGTTTCACTTGAGGAACAGTATCTTTCTCATCATGCAGCCATAGGGATAGGATGTAGTCTTAAGGATAGGATGTAGGATAGGATATGACTTATTTCACTGCTATTTTCTTTTTTAATTGAGTCTGCAACGTTATGGAAGTGATCAATATTTTTTTACATTCTTACAATAAGGCTTCTGTGTTGTTATTTTATTTATAGTATTAACATCTGAAGCGAATCAGGTTAGTGAAGGCTGCATTAAGATCTTGTGCTGTCGTGCTGAAGTCAGTTGAACAGAATTGTTTGAAAACTATTACCTTCCATGGCTGCATGTCTTTATGTTGTAGCTTCCTTCTTTCCACCGTTGCTTTGGATTTGGATGGGTACATGGCATGTACAGAATTTGCCAGAGCCTGTACAGCATTGTAGATACTGTAACTGTGGCCAGTCATGCTCATTTCAAAGAAAGGCCCAGGAAGATTCTGCAGCCTCTCTTCTCCAGTACAAGTATCCACATCATCTCCATTAAAATGGGAATTTGGAAATGAACAGTCGAATGCTTGCTCCCAGAATGGTTGGATAAAACCATTTCCCTTCATCAAATGAGGATTTAGCTTTTGAAGAAATTTTTGGAACCCTGGCACCTCATGTGAGTGGGTTGTGAAGGCTAAGGCACCATGGAAGGCTTCTATATCCCAATCCTTGTGCATGGATATGGCTACAAGGTCCATCTGGGCTACCATAATCCACACTTTACCAAATGATTTCCCATACTCAGCTTCTCCTTCATGCAGCAGTCCTCTCAATGTTATCATGGTCAAAGCTTCTCCATAGAGAATAATGGTGTTGGCTTTACTTTTCATAACATCTACAAATATTTTTCCCCACTTTCCTTGGAAATTTAAGATGTCACCAAAAATCCTTTTGAGGGAATTTTCTCAGTGAAGGCAGCACAGATGCTGTTCTGAGAAAGTATTGGTAGTAGGTTGCTCAAAAATAATTCTCCATTTTCCTCATCCATGGTCATTAGACCCACCCAAATCCATTTGAAATGCAGAAGTAGCTGGACAATTCCCTTGTACTGATGGATTTCATTTGGAGCCATTCGATACAAGGACAGTGAATGAGAGTGATCCCTCAGAATGGGGACAAAATCACCATAGGTGAACTAAAATGGGGGGAAATTCAGGAAGTTGTGTTACAAATTTATTTGGAAACCTATAGATGTGTTAGTGCAATTTTATGGATACTGAACATTCTGTTTAAAATTAATATAAGATGTGAGTTGCTTGTGAAAACTTCTCAGAATCTTCATTCAATGCAAAATGCTCCTCTACCTTAAGTAGCAGATTTAGAGAGACGTGCAGAATTTAGCAGCCAGGTTGCTCCAAAGAAGCAAGGTGGTTCAAGCATATAATACTAATCATGGCCTGACTGCCAATTAGTTTCTGGGCCCAATTCAAAGTACTTGTTTTGACTTATAAAACTTTAAATTGCTCAGGACCACAATACCTCAATACATTCCCTTATGAACCAACCAAACCCTGTGATCATCACCTGAGCCTATTATCTTTGTGCCCCCTCCATGAGAGGTCCAGACGGTGGCAATTTAAGAATGGCCCTTTTCTGCAGTGGCTTTCCCTTTGTGGAATGTTCTTCCCAGGCACTTTCATTACACATATTTAGGGGCCAGGTGAAAATATTCCTCTATAACCAGGCATTTGGCTGATTAGACAATATATGGCCTTTTAAATGTTTTCATGGAAATAGAGTTATTGGTGCTTTCTTTCTTGTTTTTCTTTTTCTTTTTCTTTATGCTGTAAACTTCCCTGTGACATTTGTAAATTGAGTCCCCCACTGCTATGGGAAAGCGCACTTGCTTTAAGAATGGACTTCTGGAATGGGTTAAGTTCGTAAACCAAGGTACCACTGTACTGGCTAAGATATCAATGTTTGTGCCACAGTCATTTCAATGGAATATACACCTGCACAAGCAACCATACAACACACTCCAAGAAAAGAAAAGGCAAATAATGCATCACAATTCTGAAAACTCAGTGTTCCAAGAGCACATCATACCTGTGGAAACTTGTAGATGTCCAAGATGGCAGCCAAATGGTGGGAGGTTTCAGCGCCTAGTCCTCCTATGACTCCTATTAGGCTGTTCTGGACATCACAGCTATAATTGGGAACAAATTTGTACTGTGTGGAGAAAAGCTCCACTGCTATGTGATAACTCCGCTTCTGGCTGAAGTAGCTCTCAGGGATGTGGAATCCCAAGGAAACATTAGGCAAAATCTTGGGATTTTCATTAATTTCATTTACAGCAAACACCAAGGCCAGGACATGCTGGTAGTTCTTTGTCACAACACTGGAAAAAAGTTAGGTGATAGGTCACCAGAAAATTTAACAATAAGTAAAGTTGCTTGGTAGCTGTCCTGCTGAATCAATAACATGTGAGTTACCGTATTTTTTGCTCTATAAGACTCACTTTTTCCCTCCTAAAAAGTAAGGGGAAATGTGTTTGCATCTTATGGAGTGAATGCAGGCTGCACAGCTATCACAGAAGCCAGAACAGCAAGAGGGATTGCTGCTTTCACTTTGCAGCGATCCCTCTTGCTGTTCTGGCTTCTGAGGTTCAGAATATTTTTTTTCTTGTTTTCTTCCTCCAAAAACTAGGTGCGTCTTGTGGTCTGGTGCATCTTATAGAGCGAAAAATACGGTAGTTGATAGACTACTGAGAGGATTACAAATTTGCAGAACCACACAGAACTGCAATATGTAGAACGTCATAGTCTGTATATATTATTACATCCTGATCCTAAGGCACTATACTTGGCATTGTGGGATTATAGCACTTCAATTTAAAAGTCATTTTAGAATGGTCAGATTATATGTGAGATTCAATAAATCCTTTGTAGTTTCACAAACCTCTTAAAAATGATTTATATCGCCTTTTCAAATACCCTATGAGTATCATCCCCTCCAGTGTCTATTGATAAACATTCACACATGTGCTACCAATTCCTTTAAGGGTGCTGATAGTTTATCCTCAGTTGGCAACCTTTGGCATATAACAGAAAAACAAAAGATCCTTACATGGGAATGCTAGTATCAGCAGAAGGAGGGTATTCAGTGAAGGAAAATGAATCCAAAAACAGTAGCATCTGAGAGACAGCCCCACCAATTATGAGGTCACCTGACTTATAATACTTATGAGGAGTATAGATGGGGTCATGGATGACACATCTTGCAGCGTGCTCCTGGAACTCACTGTGAGGTATCTGCAACAGCATTAGAAACATTTCCAGTAACACTGTCCCAATTATAGTCATTCCCCTCTCAGTGGAGATGCCAGGTTTTCCACCTTCTGTCATAACAACAGGTATGTATAGTAGTCTGGCTTGAAAAGCAGCAGCCTCTGCTGATGCAATATTTGGAACCTGTATCCTCTATCTACATACATATACCAGAAAACTATGTGGAACTGGAGTATGCTGGAGCCTGGGTCCTTAGCTCCAGTTTTGAACACCAAGCATGGTTTTTAAAAACATAGCTTGGCCTTTGTTAGTGTTTTGTTATGATTCAGATTCTGGAAACCAGGAGGTGGCTTGGTCAAAGGGAGAAAAATATGGCACATCTCAGAGACCTTAATAACAATCACAATGTATGCAATTGAGAATGGAAAAACCTGTAATTAGCTTCCCCCAAGGATCCAGGTGACATTCTGTTCAACATACTTCCTGGAGAAAGAAAACATGTTGGCCAAAATAACCACAACTTTCCCTGTGTTCCTAAGGGTAGCTGAATTTCTGCTACTTTCTAGACATGGCTGGGCAAGCAGGTTACACAAAATGTTCAGGAGAGGCTTGCCCCTTATCCTACTGCAATGGTGAGAAACTGAATCTGGCCAGTGGAATGGACCCATACCCATACCCTTGCAGGCCAACTTTGACAGGGGCCACCCATATGTCAATCACCTGACATCATAACAATGCCATGTGGCAATTTCAAAGGATCAGCTGAAAACAGACCATCACAGGAGCTCAAAAATGGTTCCGACAACCTGCCTTGGATGCTCTAAGAGTTCCCTAACTAATGAATGTTCAGGGAGAGGGGAGTTTTAAAGGTTTTTCTTAGCACAGCTCTACTTCTTTGAGGCAGCAATCCTAACTGCACTTATCTGAGAGCCACTGAATTGAATAAGACAAACTTCTGAATAGACATGGTTTGGGTTTCTCTGTAATTCTTATAAGTGACGGTGCAGAGAAAAGATAGTGCTCCAGTGGCTGCTATTTATTATTTTGACAATTTATATACCACTTAATTACAACTGTCTCTGAGCAGTATATAATAGACTCGGCATAATGTTTCCCTGTTGATCTGGTAGTGATTTGATGTCCATCAGTGCTGCTGCTGGAAATACAGGCAACTCCTTATATGCACATGATTTATTTGTGTTACTGTGCACACTCATGGTGCCGGAAACCTGGAACTGGAACCTAGAAGTGGGGTGCACCCTGGAGAGTCCTCCTGGCTTTCTTGCGTGGTGCTTTGTTGAAGCTGCTCACCTTCCCACCTAACAGCTAATGTGTGGGGTAGTGCATCAGCTGTCACCACTGCTGCCGCCACTTCCCCACACATCAGCTGAGCAGCCTCAGCAAAGCCCCACTGCCCCTACATTCTCTTTGGGCTCTGGGAGCCAGAGGTGCAGAGGGGCTTTGTCAGCTGATGCATGGGGAAGTAGTGGTGGCTGATACATTACCTTGCACATCTGCTGTTAGCAAAGGAGGCTGACTAGCCTCTTTGGGCTCTGAGGAAGGTCTCCTCGTGAGCTACTAGGACTCTCCAGGGTGCTCCCCATCTTCGTGCATTTCACTGACGTGTGGTGAGGCCCGGAATGTAACCCATGCATAAATCTTGAATGGGAAAAGTGGGGAGGGGGATAAAGGACACCCTCAATAAAATCTTTGGAATCAAATTAACAAAGTTAATAAATTTTCTGAGTCACACTTTAATTCTGGAGATTTGGATCAGGAGAATCACTTCAGAATGTGGGAACAATGAATATGGATCCTTAAGAGTCAAGAAAATTGAAAGAGCTGGGCTTTCAATTTCACAAAAGACCCCTTATTTCTTTTTATTTATTGCATTTATTTTCTACCTTTTTTTCTCCAAGGAGCTCAAGGTGGTGTACATGGTTCTCCCCATTCCTCATTCAATCCCCACAACAACCTTGTGAGGTAGGTTAGGTTGAGAGACAATGCCTGGCTAAGGTCAACCTGTGAGCTTCATGGATGAAGGGGGAGTTAAACCCTGGTATTCCAGGTCAGAGATAGAAACTTTAAGAACAGCGCCACACTGCAAAATTCCCATGCAAAATCACAAAAAAGTGTCAATGAAAATATTGATGGGCTGTGACTTGGCAGCATGTGTCAAGGCTAACAGTTACCTAGTGTCCACATGAATCAATGGACATTGGGAAATATTTAACAGAACAAATAAATTGTTTAGCCTTTTCTCATAGTCAAAATAAAAAAAATCCTTCCAGTAGCACCTTAAAGACCAACTAAGTTAGTTCTTGGTATGAGCTTTCATGTGCATGCACACTTCTTCAGATAAAGCTCATACCAAGAACTAACTTAGTTGGTCTTTAAGGTGCTACTGGAAGGAATTTTTTTATTTTGACTATGGCAGACCAACATGGCTACCTATCTGTAACCTTTTCTCATAATTAGCTGAACTCTTTTGTTCTGGCTTGAGGACAATAATGTAGAATATAGGGAGGAAAATGCAACCCAGCAGCCCAGCACTGGAGACCAAAATAGAGAAGATCTCCACAGCCACCATGTATCTTCCCTTGGTGCTCAGGTAGGTTGGGACAAAGGATAACCAAACACTGCAAAAGACCAGCATGCTGAAAGTGATCAGCTTGGCTTCATTGAAACTGTCTGGTAACTTCCTGGTCTGGAAAGCCACAGTGAAGCTCACAAAAGCCAAGAAGCTCATATAACCCAGGACACCATAAAACATAGTCACAGACCCCTCGTTACATTCAAGTGCAATTTCTTCAGCTACTGAGTTCATATCACTATCTGGGAAAGAGGGAGAGGTGAGCAACCATGCAGTGCAAATGCCTGCTTGAATAAGAGAACAATGGAGTTGGCCACTCTTTTCCCCACCCATCTTCTCATGATGCAATGGAGAGGGAGAGGCTTGGACTGTGGCTGTGGTAAATGTTGTATATATTTGCTACTAATGATGCTATTATAGCCTGTTAAGTAAATTCTACACTAGACTGAATTCTTATGGTGTCCATGAGTGTTTATTGCCTTCTGTGTGTAACTACAATTGTATAGCCTTGTGGGATTGCTAGGTGCTTTGTTCTGTCCTTTCTGGGCTCTTTCGGGGCTGTTTTTGCCATTTAAAAAGTCATTTCTGAGTTCGGCACGATGTGCATGTGTGCAGTCGTGCATCAATTGGATGTTTGTAAATGGGGAGTTGTCTGTACTACAAAACACCAGAAGGCTGATGGCTTTGAAACAGAATTCACAAGAACCCATGAAAGCAATGGGTCAGCTATTTCAAGAAAACCACAGCAAGAAAAAAATGACTGCCCTTATGTACCTCTTATATCATACAATGTATTCTACTACCTCCACGTGACCCGGACGTGTCTGCGGACAGCGCTGGCTCCCGGCCTCTTAAGTGAGATGAGCGCACAACCCTAGAGTCGGACACGACTGGCCAGTACAGGCAGGGGTACCTTTACCTTTACCGTTTATTCTACTACCTACACTGGTATTGTATAAAAAGATTTGCTTTCTAGTACCATAGCAAGGAATGCATTGGAATCTGGATTTCAAAGAAAATCCACACAACATTTCTCAGGGAGTACTAATCAGGTGTGTCCAGTTTAGAACAAAGACCAAGCAATTACACAATATGTTCATACACAGACATGGAAGACATTTTAAAGAAAGATATGTTTTATTTCCAAAACAGTAATTTCTCCCTTCCTTCCTGCCACATTGCAAATGTGTGCGAATTTCAGATCTTCCTAAATGGCTATAAGGTAATTTGTCTCCATGATTATGGTTGCACTCAAAGCTTAGAAGAGACCATAACCCTAATAAAAGTAGAGGGTTTTTTTCTAGCTGTTTCTTTTAATAAGCTTATCTTTTTTGTTCAGGTCTGGTCTCAGTGTGATAATGTAGCATTTGGGGAAAAAGATGCAACCCAACAGGCCAACACTGGAGGCTAAGATGGAGAAGATCTCCACAGCTACCATGTATTTCCCCTTCGTGCTTAAGTAGGTTGGAACAAAGGATAACCAAACACTGCAAAACACCAGCAAGCTGAAAGTGATAGACTTCGCTTCATTGAAACTATCGGGTAATTTCCTGGCCTGGAAAGCCACAGTGAAGCTCACAAAAGCCAGGAAGCTCATATAACCCAGGACACAATAAAACATAGTCACAGACCCCTCGTTACATTCCAGTACAATTTCTTCAGTCACTGACTTCATGTCAACATCAGGGAAAGGGGGAGACATAGCCAGCCATACAATACAAATGCCTGCTTGTACAATGGAACAGAAAAGAACAATGGAGTTGGCCACTCTTTTTCCTACCCATCTTCTCATGCTGTTTCCTGGCCTGGTGGCCATGAAAGCCAGAACCACTGTGATGGTTTTTGCTAACACAGAAGACACAGCTGCTGAGAAGACCATGCCAAAGGCCACCTGACGAAGGAGACACATCACCTTCTCAGGTCGACCAATGAACAGAAATGCAGAAAGGAAGCAAAGCATCAGGGAGATAAGGAGAGTGTAGGTGAGGTTCCGGTTGTTGGCTTTGACAATGGGGGTGTTGTGGTGCCTTATAAAGGTTGCGAGCACTAGAGCTGTGATTGTGGAAAATAAAAGCACACAAATTACTAAGCTTATCCCCAAAGGCTCCCCATAAGACAGGAAGGTTACTTCTTTGGGAATGCACTGAGTTTGTTCTTTATCTGAATAATGATCTTCTTGACAGGCAGTACAGGAACCTGCATCTGTGGAAATAAGAATATTTTAAAAGCTGGTTTACATATAGTCATCTGCAACTGCCAATATGTCTTCTACATCTACTACAGACCATATGGTGGTCACATGGAGATAATGGTGTGGGTCTCCCATTAGAAACAAAATACAGCTCTCAGTGTTAATGCCAGTCTCTAAAGGCAAATAGATTGTGGTAACCCATATTTTGGAATCAATGCCACTCCCAGGATGGATTTTATAGGTAGCAGAGTTGGGCATGAAAGGAAGCTGGATACAGAAGCCCACCTACTGCAAATCAACCACAGCCACAGATACCTGTCTACAGCTTGTCACACATATAGTGTGCAAAAGAAGTGGCATATCTTAGAGGTGGAGTACAACATCCAGTCAATGTCATTTCCAGACATGGCTGTGAATTATTTCTTTTTGAAATGTGTATTTATTTATTTATTAAATTTGTATACTGCCCTTCATCTAAGGACCACAGGAAAGCTCACAACATTAAAATACCGAATGAAAACACATAATAAAGCAAAAAGCAAAACACAAACCAATAACCCCTCACCCAACACATTTAATTTTACACTTAACTGGATATTTTGTGTGTGTGTGTGTGTGTGTGTGTGTGTGAGAGAGAGAGAGAGAGGGATACATGCATGTCTGTATAACCATTGCAAAACTCCAGTCACTTATTTGAACTTGGGAATTAGTAACCAGCAAACTCCTGAGTGAACAGGAAGATATTAAGCAACTCTACACCACTAGTAGTGCTTGATTACCGATCTGAGGTGAAACCTTCCCCTTTGGACATGGAACACAATCATAGCAACAAAAAGGCACCCCTTCCTTCTTTTTCTTCTGATGACCAGGATGGCATTTATCATTACAGAGCGAAAGGGGCATTACCTGTCAAAGAGATATAAAGCAGTAGTACTTGAAAAATGCATTTTAAGATTAATCCAATGTGCAGTTGCCTGCCAGAGCATGACAAGATTACTCTCATATCAACTGTTCTGAATTCAAAAACATTTTATATTTTCAATCCTCTCATTCCTATTTCCCCTCCAACATGTATTCCATATGGCTCAATTGCCTTGGATATATGTAAATTATCTGCCCTCTGTTTGTTTGTTTTGGTTTTATCTGTTTTCCTTTTTTATATTAAATTGTAATATTGAGAAGCTTAATAAAAATTATTACAAAAAGTGGTATTGGTTCAGAAGCGGGAGCTGGAGCAAACATATGGCAGTTCAAGTGCTCACTGGGGCACATAATCACCAAACAGCTACAGAAAAAATTGCACTGGCCTCCACTTAGCTTCAAGGCTAAGTTCAAGGTGCTGGTTTTGGCATATAAAATCCTAAATAGCCTGGGACCATAGCACCTGAAAGATCACTCTCGCTCCGTTAAAAATCAGTGTGTAGAACTGATCTTCTGACAAGATATCTATCAGAATGCACGGTATTGTGTCAAGGTTGTGGCAATGACACTCACCCTTTGGAATGGTCTCCCCTTGAATATTAGACAGGTGCCATCTCCATTATCTTTTTTGTGGTTACTGAAGATCTACCTATATTGACAAGCATTTTAAGCCTTGAGATCTTTTCCCAGTCTGCATCCAGATTGGAACTGTTTTTTTTTAAATGTTTTGAATATGTTGCATTGTTTTATCATTTGTTGTTTGGTGCCCTGCCTCCTTTTGGGAGAAGGTCACAATACAAATTTAATTAAACAAACAGACAAATAAATAAGCAGTAACATCCTACCTGATTAAAGCTTCTGGGCCATGTAATGGCCGCTACATCAATACTGAAATCTTTGCCTTCCAGAGCCCAAGGATTCATCCTTCCAACTTTCACTCTAACAAATGAGTTATTTGGGAAGGTAATTACATTTGTAATATCAAACCCCATTGTAAATTCTCCATTCTCATTCAAAACCATTGTTTCTCCAACACCATTCTTCAATGTGATATTCCTCAGAATTGGATGGAGCTAGGAGAAATGACCAAAAAAAGAGAACAATTCCATAATGGCAATTTTAAAAGAGTAGCAAGGCAATGTTTTACTCAGACTGTGGGTGTCAGGAACATCACTTAGGTATAAAAATATATCATGCGTTCATTTTATTCATTGTAGTTCAACAGAGTCTTTCAATGTCTGTTACCTGCCATGCTGGCACATTGTTATGTTCCAGATTCTTTCTGGCTACCAGTACTCTGGATTTGGATCTGGATGAGTACATGGCATGTACAGAATTTGCCAGAGCATAAACAGCACTGTAGATACTGTAGCTATGACCAGTCATGCTCATTTCAAAGAAAGGCCCAGGGAGGCTCTCCAGACTCTCTTCCCCAGTGCAGATTTCTGCATCAACTTCATTAGAATCATAATTTGAAAATGAACAGCCAAATACTTGCTCCCAGAATAGTTGGATGAAACCATCCCCCTTGACTAAATGAGGCCTTAAGTTTCGAAGAAACATTTGGAAACCCAATACCTCCTCTGAGTGAGTTGTGAAGCTTAAGGCACCATGGAAGGCTTCTATACTCCAATCCTTATGAATGGGCACTGCAGCAACATCCAGTTGTGATGCCATAATCCACACTTTACCAAATGCTTTCTCATAGTCAGTTTCACCTTCATGCAGCAAACCCCTCAGACTTAACATGGTCCTGGTTTCTCCATAGACAACAACAGCATTTGCATTATTCTCCATAACATTTTGAAATGTTTTGTTCCACCTTTCTTGCAAATGAAACAAGTCATCAAAAAAGAATATTATGGCAATTTTCTCTATGAAGGCAGGGCAGATGTCATTTTTAGAAAGCACTGGTAGGAAGTTCTGCAGAAATAATTCTCCAATTTCATCATCCATGACCATTAGACCGACCCAAGTCCATCTAAAATGCAGGAGTAGCTGGACAATCCCTCTGTACTGATGGATATCATTTGGAACCATTTGGTAAAAAGAAAGAGAATGGATTTGACCCCTCATCATGGGGACAAAATCACCATAGCTGAACTAAAAAGGCAAGCAGACAGACATATCCCTAATTAATGTCCCTAATTATTTTATGGATTTTTGTTTGTTTTATTTTTATTCACAGTGAAGCATCTAGTGAAATTGAATATGCTCTGCTTCCTGGATAGAGTTGAGGAATAATTTATGCATTCATAAACTTCAGACTTCACTATTGTACAGTTCTTAATATGGGCCTACTGCTGAAGACAACTTAGAAGCTTTGAGTAGTGCATAATGCTTTTGTGCTTCTAGTGTATGTAGGAAGATATTAACTGTCAGGAAAAAGCCAGCTCCTAGTGAAACTTCACAGCCTGCTTCAGAACAGACAGAGTTAGATTTGCAGCAGGCTGAACAGCGGCCAGTGCCCAGTGCAACTCCCATGGGCTTTGGAATTCCGGTTACCAACGGAACGACTGAGAGCAGGCTGCAACACAGCCAAAGCTCTCCGGAAGATCAATTAGGTGCAAACAAAGACAGAGAGAGTCTCCCGGAAAAGAAAGAGGTTGGAGATGAGCCAATTTCTCTGAGGAATCAGCGAATGGGAGGGCTGTTGGACAAGAAGCAAAACAAGAGAAGCGAGGTTCGTAGGTTTCTTCTGTCAACATCAGAAGCAGTCTTCAGAAGGGTCATCCTGAGTAATGATTCTGGAGACTTTGTTTGAGGCATCCAAAGTTATTTGTTGATTTTTTGGAATAAATCCTCCTTTTAATTATCCACGCTTACTGTGTTATCAAGCTGGGAACCTGGACTCCTGACATTAGCATATATGTATAATTTGTTCCCAGCTGCATTGGCTGCCTGTAGGCCTTCAGATTGAATTAACAACCTGGGCTCCATTTATCTCAGAGCTGCCACACCTTGGACCATATTAGCTTCACTTACCATATTGCTGTGGGAATAGAATTATGGGCCTCCACATCAATTTCCGCAAAACTGTATAACCATTTCCTCTTTTAGCAACATAATTCTGCATGTCTTGTGGGCCTTGTACCATGGTGTGAGAGAGTTAAATTGCACATCATCTCCCTAGCTTTAGGACTAGCTAGTAAATTGATTTGAGTTGAATTTGTCTTAATTAGCTCCAATGCTTTCTCCCATTCCAAATATGGATAAAGGGAATAAATGCCCATCATCCTGTGATATAGTCCTTATCCTGCTGAACTGTGCTGACTGTGTGAATATACAGTCATATAAAAACCCACACGCCAGGAACGCAAAGAAAAGAAAATTGTGACATTACTCTGAAACTCCATGGCCACATTTTACCTGTGGTAGCTTGTAGATGTTCAAAATGGAAGCCAAATGGCGGGAGGTTTCAGAACCCAGTCCCCCAATGACTGCTATGAGTTTGTTCTGAAGGTCACACTTATAATTGGGGATGAAGCTATGCTGTGTGGAAAAAAAATCCATTGCAATCTGATAGAATCTCCTTGGATTAAAGTAGCTCTCAGAGATGTGGAATCCCAAGGAGACATTGGGCAAGATGTGGGGCTGTTCATTTATCTCATTTATAGCAAATGCCAAAGCCAGGACATGCTGGTAATTCTTTGTCACGAAACTGCAACAAAAGTTAGAAAATGTTTCACAGGGATATCCAACAAATGATGAAAATCTTTATTAGCTTTCCTGCACCTTCAATATCTTAATCAGTGCATACAGCTCTGTAAATCATTACTCTTGCAAGCTTTACTGTTTCTGGTTTGATTTTTTGTATGTGAATAATATTGTTTTTTTGTTAATTAACTGATGAGTGTTATAAATAACTTCTTTATATTTTATATTAGTTTGTAAGTCACTTAGTGCCTTTCTTTTTTTATAAGGTAAAACAAATTATAAAGTTATTAGAAAAAGGAATGAGTGCTGAGAGCTGTACAGACTTTCACAATCACACAGACTGCTAAGTGACAAGAGACTGTTGCGAATTGCTGTGAATTCCAACATTCTCTTTAAGAAGTTCCTTCACAAACCAAACTGTACAGTCCTCCTTCAAGATACCACTTTGCCATCCTTAATCAAATTCATTTTATTAAGCACCTTAGTCCTTGGTTACTATTCCACTTCAAGAATGAACTTTTTAAAAAAATACACTGAAGTATTTGAATGTTTCCATATGTCTCTTCATGTTCAGTGGATTTTTTTTTAACTGCTTGGTGATCACTTTTGATACTTTTATGCCTAGAAATGTGCACTTGGGGAGATGTTTAGTATGATTAATTATTGTTATATGCTTTTAAATATTTCTGTATTTACCAAGTAAGTCACCTTGCAACCTTAGATTATAAAGTGATGCATAATTAACAACAACAACAACAAGAATAGCTGATAGGAAGGACGTATGAACTGACAAAATCACCAGAGGTCATGCTGATTATTGAAGACAAGTATGTATTAAGGAAGGGCAGAGAAGGATTCTCAGAATTTCATTCTAAAGGGTGTGTATAATGGAAACCTGCCTCCTGAAAGTATGGTACCAAGGTGAGTGACAGTGTCTCGTTCCAGTGAACAAAAATAACATCACAGAGGAGGGCATCTGGATACAATGCAAAAAGTGGCTTGAAATCTTGAAATATTTATATCCCTTGATTATTAAGTGATACATCAAACTAAAATGGTAAAGGGTTTCACACTGGAGTCTTTCCTTATAAAGCAAATGCACCAGAGATGGAAACTAAACAACAGAAATACAATCATAAGCCAAGGGCATATTGCTATAGTGCACAAGATGATGACACAATAATTTAGGAATATTGAAAACAGAAATGATGGTCATATTAGAAACAAAGGTGTTTTTTTGTTTGTTTTTTGGAGAAAGGAAACAGAAAAGTTCAGATAGAAAAGGAAGCCAAAGAGAATTAATAAAGTCATGAAGAAATGTTTGTATGATGTGCACACTGGGATATACTAGCATTTGATAAAAGAAAGGGATATACCGAGGCCTACTATAGAATAATGATCTTTTGTTTAATCAACTAAGACTGTCTTTGCATACATACCTGGAAATAAGCCTGACTGAATTTAGTGAGATTTACTCCCAAGTAATTATGCATAGGATTAAAGTGAGATCTTTAAACAGTTAATAATATATGCAACTGAAACTAAATAGGTTCTTACTAGGGAATTTCAAAGTTAGGAGAAGGATAGTCAGTGAAGGAATATTGATCCAAATATATCATCATCTGAGAAGAAATCCCACCAATCATGAGTTCACCTGTCTTATAATATTTATGATCAGTAGAGATGGGGTCACGGAGGACACATTTAGCAGACTGCTCCTGGAACCCAGTGTGGAGTACCTGCAACAACAAGAGTAGTACTTCAAAGAACACCATCCTAATTACTGTAATTCCTCTCTAGATGTAGATCACAGATTTCTACCTATAGCCATAGCAATAAATTTTATTTTTTTGTTATAGCAACCTGTCTCTGAATACTAATGACCCATGTGTTGCAAGATTTAAAGCTAATCTCCTCCCTTCAAAATGAAGAAACCGTTACTGGATTCATGGAACACTCTCTCCACTTCTCAATGATAAAACATGGAATATATATAAAGTTCTTTTGATATGTGATTGTGTGTTGTTATGATGCAGCTTTCTGGAATCCTTACAAGGACTTGGTAAGAAAGCAAATTACACAGCATATTATTCTTGGAACCCACAGGGCCTTGATGAGAAAGTATATAATTGAGTGGTACAAGATCTGTAATTAGTATCCTCCAGAGGAACTTTAATGGCATCAAAACTAAAAGAGTTACTACTGAGAGAAACATGTTGACTGAAGTAGTGAAAATTGTAATGTGTTCCAAGTTTGTTGAAATGACAGTTGAAGAACAACATCCTTGTCATGACACTATGAAGTTATAGAGAAATGGCATGCTTAGAAGGGTACTAGTTAATCTACAACTGGATGCTTCCTTGATCATTCATTTTCTTATCTATCTGTATCCAATGTGACACTGTGCATGAATACACAACCATGTTGTGTGGAAAGGGAAGTATCCAACTTCCGTTTGATGAGATGAGAGTGATCTCTGACCTTGCAGCCACTAGAAATAATGCATCCATGATCACAGGATAGCTGATTGCTCTGATTGTATGGCTCAGTTTTAGTTACCGGTATGTGCCAACGTTCATGATTGTTTGAAGAGTGGTAGGAATTAGCATGCAGTTTGGGGCATGTGGTTCTTACCTGTCCATCCTTGAAGCTTCCAGACTGTGGTAGCGGAAGAGAAGGTCATTTCCTCCTTTGCTGAACATCACAGTCCTGACCCTTATTGCCCATTCCATGCCTACTATTTAAAGCTCAGATACAGACACGTTTAATATTACATGTAATATGTAGAAGGAATGGGTGATCTAGCATGTGCGGGAAAGATCATTCTGAGGATGAGGAATAATTCCAGATTTCAATTTTGAAAGTGTACTAATGTTAAGAGTAAGGAGGAGGGAGACAGCAGCAGAGTCACTGAGAAGACTCAGGGAAAGAGTTTTAAGAAACCACCAAGGGTGTCTAAATGGAAGAGATTTCCTCTTCATTTCCAATAGACAGACACATGGGGGAGAGACTCTAATCTTTGATTCTTAATCTAGAGGGAAATCATGCAATGGAAATTCTGGTTCATAGGGCCAGAGACAAAAGCAGACAGATTAGTCTATGTTTGAGCCATGCCACTCACAAACATCTTCAAAGCAAGGCCCAGTCCATCTTTTTTCCACATTAAACTGCATATTTAAAAATAAATAAAACAAAACTGCATGAATTCTACTACTAAGCTATTTATTTTATAACATGGGCAAATTGCCTTTAAACAAACTTTCTTTTATTTCTTCTTTTTTTTAAAAAGCAATATGTTATTCAAA